ACGTGGCACTGGCGGCGACGATAAACAATGGACCAAAACTCGGGCAAAGAAAGCCGGCGATGTGGGGGTGGGTGGAGGTGGGGGAGGGGGGACATGGGTTGTAGAAGGGGGGGGGGGGGAGTGGGCCCTGGTACTCCTATACCCACCCCCTTCCCCCCTCCCCCACTTGCCCTGCGTCACACTACAGTGCCATTCGTCTTGTTAATTCGGGTGCCATTAGGTTGAAATTAAACAGCGACCTTCACATCTGTTGGGGCGACGGATAGGGAAGGCATTTGTCACAGGGATAAACAAAATCTAGCGCCCATTCGTCTGCACCCGCACCCCCCACCCCCCCACCCCCCAATCCTCCCTTCCTCTCCCCCAACGCCCACTTCACCCACCACTTGATCCCCTCCCCCCCCCCCCATCCTGCCCTTCATCCCCCCACGTCCACTTCACCCACCACTTGACCCCCTCCACCCCCTACCTGCTTCCCCTCTCTTCCCTTTTCCAGCCCCCTCCCCCCACCTTAATTCACCTGCTTCTACTTCATCCCCATCCTCGTTTTTCTGTATCCTTCCCTCAATCCTCTTCTCCCATCTTCCAGTTCCCTCCTCTCCTACTTTCCTTTTCTACTTCACCCCATCTCCCTTCCCATCTTCTTTTCTTCAAGCCTTTTCTTTTTCCTCTGTTTATTCCCCACGTTCATCTCCTTCAACATTTCCTCAACCTCCCTCCTCAACCTGTTTCCTCTCTTTTCAATTACTTTTCTCCCTTACTCCCTTCCACTTCACTACCTGCCTCATCACCCTTCCCTTTCTCCCCTCATTTCTTATTTTCTCCTTTCAAATTACTTTCACGTCTTACCCCTTTCCACTTCATTCTTTCTTCCTCTCCACCTGTTCCTTCTCCTTTTAGTTTTACCTCCTCTTACTTTCTTTCACTTCAGCCTTCTTCACTTTACCACTTACCCACTTCACCCACCTACTTCCTCTTCCCTTAACCCGCTTCTGCTAATTCCACTTTATTCCTTTTTTATCCCTCCTCCCTTCAACCCTCTTCTTCCTTTCAATTCCATTCTTTGCATCTCCATCACAGTGAAATCTCGTACCCCCTTTTTTCTCTTTAAAAGATACCCTATCCCTCTTCCCCAAGTCTTACACCCTCCTCCCCTCATTTTTATCCTAACAACCCCCTACTCACCCTCAACTGAAGTCTTAAACCCCACCCCTTATCCTCATTCCCCTTCTCGCTTGTAGAGAGGGGAGTGGGCCCTAGTACTCCCCATACCCCACTACCCCCTTACTCCCCCCTCCTGATTTGATTTGACTTGGGGGTATTCTTTGACATCCCCCTCTTCCTCACCCTACACCTGATACCTTACATTTCTCCTTTTCTTCTTTATTTTTGCTGCCACCCCAGTCATTCTCCTCCTCACTGTCCACCTGACGCCTCATACCCTTCCTTACCCCCATCTGACATCAAATACTCTTCCTTACCCCTACCTGATGGATCATGCCTCTCCTCATCCCAATCTGACGTTTTTAAAACCTTTGCCTGACTTCTTATGCCCTATCTTCTTCCATTTAACACCCCCTCCTCATACTGAACCAGACCCCAAGCTGACGTCAAATACCCATCCTCAAGACCCACCTGGTACCTCATACCCCTCCTTACTCTAATCTTATGTCAATTATCTATCCTTACCCCTACCTTATACTTCATACCTTCTATTGCCCTAATCCGACGTCCAATGCTCATCCTCAAGCCCCACCTGACACCACATACCATTCCTTACCCTAATCCGACGTCAAATGCCCATGCTCACCCCTCCCTGACGCCCCATACCCCTTCTAACCCCAATCTGACTTATTCCCCCATCTGACATCTCATACTCCGCCTTCTTCCCCTAACACCCCCTCCTCATCCTCATCCAGACGACTTATACCCAACCCTCACCCAACAACACCATCTCATACCCCCTCCTTCCCTCACCCAACTCCCCCACTCCCCCACTCCCCCACTCCCCACTCCCCCACTCCCCCACTCCCCCACTCCCCCACTCCCCCACAAACACCCAAGGGACGACGAACTCTTGAAGTCGTTCTGAAAAGTTCTCCCCCTGTCTCGAGAGAAGGAAGTTATCCTCCTCGTAAGAACGTGTGTATTGAGGAAGACCAAGCTTAGGAGGGGAGGAGGGGGTGGTGGAGACGTTGGAGGGGGGGGGGGGTCTATGTGGGTGTAGTGTGGGGAGGAGTCCTAAGGGGTGTAAGTGTAAGAGGGGGGTTGTTGTGGGTGTAGTGTGGGAGGGAGTCATTGGGGGTATAGAGGAGGAGGGGGTGTCCTTGTGGGTGTAATGTGGGAGGGAGTTTTTGGGGGTGTAAGTGTGGGAAGGGAGTCTTTGTGGGTGTAATGTGGGAGGGAGTTTTTGGGGGTGTAAGTGTGGGAAGGGAGTCTTTGTGGGTGTAGTGTGGAAGAGGGGATGGATCCTTGGGGTGTAGTTTAAAGGTGGGGGGCCCTTGGGTGTAGCGTGAAAAAATAAAATATAGGATGGAGTCCCTTGGTGGATAAGAGAGGAGTTTTTTGGAGTGTAGAGTTTAACATTATCTTTTGGATACGGTGTGTAGGATGAGGTCCTTTAGGATGGGATCTGTGGGGTGTAGCGTGGGTCCTTGGGGCATGAGGTAGAGTTGGGGTCTTTGTGGCGTGGGGAAGTTGGGGAAATAAAATTATGGAAGAGCTGCATTGATATGTACTTATATGTGTGTTCATGTGCGTGTCTATTATCAGTTGTGTGTATGTTTGTTCTTGTGTGTGTTTATGTACATGTAGTATTGTGTGTATATACCTGTATATGAATGCTTATGTTATCATTTCTATTACTATTATTAATATTTATTTATTTTATTATTTTTTTACGTCCTTTCGTACACATGTTCTGTGTGTGTTTGGCTCATTTTATTACATTCCATAATCATTATCTTCTTTAAGAACTTGTCAGAATATTCTTCAATGTATACTTGTAAGTTTTTTCCCCTCATTACGGCATGAAAAAAGACATTATTTGCGCACATAAATAGACATTCCAAAATATCGTTTTTCCCCACCTTTATCCATCGTGAAATCGGTAATTATCCAGCCCCCAACCCCCACCTCCCTCCTCCGCAAGCTCCCAATTCCTTCTTCCTCCCCAACCCCCTCCCTCCTCCTCCAGCTTTTAACCTCGTCTCCCCTCTAATCTCCCCTCTCCCCCTTCTCTTTCCCAACCCCTTCTTCATCTGATCTCCCTACCTCTTCCCTTCTTTCCAACCCTCCCTTCATTTTAAGTTTTCCTCCCCCTCCCCTCCAATCTCCCCATCTTTCATTTCACTTCCAGCCCCCCCTTCTAAACTCTCCTCCCACCTCCTCCTCCCTTCCATACCCTCCTTCCTCCCCCTCCTCTCCAATCATCCCCCAACCACTCCACCTCTTACTCACCCTCTCTCTTCCATACCTTCCTCCTACCCACCCAACCCCTTCTCCCTTACACATCCTCCTCCCTCCCATACCCTCCTTCCACCCACCCTCCCACCCACCCAACCCCCTTCTCCTTCCACTACCCTCCTCCCTTCCATAAACCCTTCCATAACCCCTTCCCTCCCTTCCATAACACCCTCCCTCCCTTCCACACCCTCCTCCCTTCCACACCCTCCCCCTTCTATATCCCCCTCCCACCTCTCCTCCCTTCTCTCTTCCACAACCCCCCCTCCTTCTCTCCCTATCCCTCCACCCACCCACCCTCCTCCCTTCCATATCCCCCTCCTCCCTCCCATAACCCCTCCACCCACCCACCCTCCCCCCTCCCCTCGCACCAACCTAGACTCAGCAAACATAAATACAAACCTCTCCTGTAACCATGCCACAAAGTGATTGGGTCTTGACAGAATAAATGGCACCAGGTTTACCCACAAATAGGTCATTAGCGGAGGCAGCGTATAGTGGTATCGGCAAGTGTTGTAATTCCCCTCTCATTACTGGCAGCCATGAGGGTAACTTGCATGTTGATTTGGAATGGTATCGTCCGGTTTTTGGGTTGTTATTCTCTTGTTTTTCTTCTTCTTTTTTTTTCCTTACTTTTTTTTCGTTTTTCTTTTATATGTCTTGAGTCTGGGTCGTAGCTTGGGTATATGTTTTTTTTTCTCTCTCTCTCTGTGTTTGTTCTTTTTTCGATTTTAATTCCCTCTTTATCAGTCGGGTATCATTCTTCTCTGTCCATTCACTCTTCCCTCTTTATTTCATTTTCGTCTTAATTCCCTCTTCCTCATTCGATTATTATTCTCTCTTTTCCTTTTATTCCTTTCTCTCTTATTTTTCCACTTTTCATTCCCTACTTCGTCACTCGGGTAATATTTCTATTTTATTCCTTCCTCCTCTTTCTGATTTACTTCTCCCGTCTCCATCCTTCTCATTTCTTCTCGCCAATGCAATCATTAATATCACATTCATCATCATTATCATTCATTTCTATTATCATTTGTAATTTGTTTATTAAATCATCATATTTTTCAACACCCCAGTGACAGAGTAGGCTGACTGTTGCCACCTTTTACAAGCTTAATATTTATCGTCATTATCAGTAAAAGTCAGATTGTATCGGTGTATGAAAGACAGGACTAATTGATAAAACCTGTTATCAGCAGAGCGAAAGAGCGAGAGAGGGAGGAGAGGAGAGAAAGAAAGAAAGAAGAAAGAGGAGAAAAAAAGGGAAGAGAGGAGAGGAGAGAAAGAAAGAGGGAAGGAGAGGAGAGAAAGAAAGAGGAAGAAGGGAGAGAGGGAGAGGGAGAGGGAGAGAGACAGACAGACAGACAGACAGACAGACAGACAGACAGACAGACAGACAGAGACAGGAGAGAGAGAGAGAGAGAGAGAGAGAGAGAGAGAGAGAGAGAGAGAGAGAGAGAGAGAGACCACACTGTCATTCTATAAACTTTTTAAATAAATGTAAATCATAAATAATAAAAGTTTCCTTACTTACGGCATTTCTTTTCGCTATGATATTTTCATGAATAAACATTTAAAGATCCAATAAATAAGGAAAAGATAAAGATTTTCGAGTGAAAATACATACACATATGTAAACAAAACAAATAAAAAAACAACGACAGATAACCAGAGAATAAGACGATACAAGAATAAAAAGAGAGGAAATATCATAATTCGTTTCATGAAAAGATAAGTTGAAAAATAGATAAACAAAGGTAACAATTATAGTAGTGTTATTAGTATCATTATGATGGTGATAATGATAATGATAATGATAATGAAACAACTACTACCACTACTAGAAATAATTATAAGGATAAAGAATATAATAATGATGATAATGACAATAACAAAAAAGATAATAATAATGATAATGATTATATATATCAATAATGATGATGATGATATAACAATAATAATAAATAATTATCATGATGATAATTAGTATAATATCATCATCATCATCATCATCATCATCATCATCATCATCATCATCATCATCATCATCATCATCATCATCATCATCATCATCATAATCATAACAATAATAATAATAATAATAATAAATAATAATAATAATAATAATAATAATAATAATGATAATAAGTATTATCATTATCATAATGATGATATTAATATTGATAATGGTAATAAGGGTAACAACAACAACAACAATAATAATAACAATAATGATAATAAAAATAGAATACTATCGAACAAGAATTGACATATGACATCCTCCGCAGCAGTTATCCTTAACAAAAATAAATAAATAAATAAACAAACAAATAACAAAGATATAAAATACAGTAATAAATAAACAAATTAATAAAAGATAAGCAAATAATAAAACATGATGAAAAAAAGTAAACAAGAAAAGCCATGAGACATCACCCACAACAACTATCTTTAACAAAATAAAAAAGTAATAAAAATCAATAAATATAGAAATAATAGGAATAAAAATAATAAGAATAGGGAAATATAATAAAACAAAATAAAAATGATAATAATAAAGAAACAGCAAACAAGAATAGCCATGAGACATCACCCGCAACAGCTATCTTTAACAATATAAAAAGAGTAATACAAATTAATAAATATAGAAATAGAAATAAAAATAATAAGAATAGGCAAATATAATAAAACACAATAAAATGATAATAATAACGAAATAGCAAACAAGAATAGCCATGAGACATCACCCGCAGCCAAAAGCTATCTTTAACAAAATAAAAAAGTAATAAAAATAACAAAAAATAAGCAAATATAATAAAACATAAAAAGCAGACAAGAATAGCCATAAGACATCACCAGCCACAGCAGCTATCTTTAACAAAATAAAAAAGTAATAAAAATGAATAATTATAGAAATAGAAATAAAAAATATAAGAATAAGCAAATATGATAAAACATAATAAAATAAAGACAAAAAAACTAGCAGACATGAATAGCCATAAGACATCACCAGCCAATAGCTATCTTTAACAAAAAAATAAAAGAAATAAAAATGAATAAATAAGAAATAATAGACAAAAAATAACAAAAATAAGCAAATATGATAAAACATAATAAAATAAAGACAAAAAAACTAGCAGACATGAATAGCCATAAGACATCACCAGCCACAGCAGCTATCTTTAACAAAATAAAAAAGTAATAAAAATGAATAAATATAGAAATAATAGACATCAAAATAACAAAAATAAGCAAATATAATAAAATATAATAAAATAAAAACAAAAAAACTAGCAGACATGAATAGCAGCCAATAGCTATCTTTAACAAAAAAATAAAAGAAATAAAAATGAATAAATATAAAATAGAAATAAAAGATATAAGAATAAGCAAATATATAAACATAATAAAATAAAGACAAAAAAAAAAAAAAAAAACTAGCAGACATGAATAGCCATAAGACATCACCAGCAACAGCAGCTATCTTTAACAAAATAAAAAAAGTAATAAAAATGAATAAATATAGAAATAATAGACATAAAAATAACAAAAGCAAATATGAAAAAACTAGCAGCATGAATAGCCATAAGACATAAAAGCTATCTTTAAAAAATAAAAAGTAATAAATGAATAAAATAAAAATAAGCAAATATAAAACATAAAAAAATAGCAGACAAGAATAGCCATAATAGCAGTTATCTTTAACAAAATAAAAAGGTAATAGAAATTAATTAATATAGAATGATAGACATCAAAATAAAAATGAATAATTATAGAAATAGAAATAAAAAATATAAGAATAAGCAAATATGATAAAACATAATAAAATAAAGACAAAAAAAAAAAAAAAACTAGCAGACATGAATAGCCATGTGACATCACCAGCCGCAGCAACCACCTATCTATACCGTCCTTGAAGTCAACAGGTGTTAGACATCGGAAGGAGAGACATCATTAAACTTCTGTTGCTCTTCCAGCCCGGTGAAAAATTGTAACAAAAATGCCGCCTAATGCTATCTAATGACCACTGATCTATCT